TGATTTGTTGGTTTGTTATGTGGTCTCGAAGGCATTGCACGTTCCATGGCTCGTTGTGTAACTCTGAGTTTATTCGCAAATTTTTATGTCAGTGTTGATGCTGATAAGTTGTTGTAAAAATACAATCAGTATTTTTACTCCGATGAGGAATAACTGCATATGTCACTCTCACTATTAGGACCAACTTCTATAATTACTGGTTCCACTATAACCTCCATAATATTATCCAGCTCCCAGAACTTTTTTTCCACTATATTCTTAACGTGATCCACACAATTTTTCCATTTTTCTGGGTGATGTTGTTAACAGCTTCATCAAAAAGGTTTTTTACATCTGCGAACTTGAAAGTTTTGTTATTAGCAGCAACAAAATTTTTAGCGTCAGCCCATATGAGCTCAATTGGATTGAGCTCACAATGGTATGGTGGTAAACGTAACACGGTTTTATTTTGTTCTCTTGCCATTTCGTCTACGACACATTTATTGAACTTTGCCTTAAGGGGGCCACTAATTGTAAAAGTTCCACTTTTAACATATCATCATCGAAATAAATGTCTTTTGACTGTAGCCATTGTTTTATTTTTTGTTTATTCCATGATGTTGTGGGTATCTTTTCAATTTTCCGGGAATGATAAGAGGCATTATCAAGAACTATCACACAATTATCTTCTAACCGAGGCAATGTACTTGCAAACCACCTTTCGAAGCTCTCAGCGTTCATCTCTTCATGATAATCGCCGCTCTTTTTTGAGTCAAACATCCATAAACAATCTTCTACAAATCCTGTTTCACTCCCTATGTGGGTAATAATAAGTCTTTTTCCCTTGCCCGATGGATTTTTAAGACCTGTTGAAAAACCAGACAAAAATGCCTGCATGGAAGATTTCACCGTTTCGTCAACCCAAACATGGGATTTTGTGTGTCCTGAATTTACCCATGTTTCGTCTAAATAGTAAATTTTTCTATTTTGTTCCCGAAATTTTTTTATGGATTTTAAGAAATTTCGTCTCCACAAGATGATGTCGTCTCGATCTAACAAAGCACTATTTCTGCCCCTCCGTACGTATTTAAAATCAAGTGATTTGAGGAGTTTATAAAAATGTAGTGCTTTTAAAATTCGGCAAGCTTTCGTCCTCATTAACAACTGAAAGAACTTTGTGTATAGTAGGTATTTCGTTTTTAAAAAAAAATTGATGCACAATTCGTCGTATGGCCGATTTATCGGCATCATCAATTTTGTCCAATATAGTTTTCCTGGGCTTAGTCTTTTTCGGGGAAGAAAATGTTCCGGTATTCTTCTGCTCTTTAAGAATTCTGTACACAGAAGCTTCACCTACGCCACAAGAAATAGCTGTCTGTTTCACTATTTCCGATACCAAAGCTTCTGGATGCGATTCTATTGTCGATGTATAAACATTATAAATAACACTTTTTTCAGTACTACTAAAAGGACGCATTTTTGATCGCTTTTTTGGTGTAACTTCCTCCGCAGAATCGGTAGAACTGGACATTTTAACTTAAAAATTAGAACGCACAAACTTGGACTTAATAAAACTAAAAAACTACTATTTTAAATTAAAAATTAGAACGCACAACTTTGAAAAGTCTTAATAAAACTAAAAAACTACCACATAAACTTTAAATTAGCAAACAAATAATTATTATAAACACAAATAGTTCATTTTTAGATCGAGATACAGAAATAAACGTTAACGCGAAACTACTCGACTGATACTGAATAGGGATGCGCGATGTTCATTGTTAAATGAAGACATTGACCACCAACGATCTTAAGTTTTAGGAAATACCATAAAATTATTATCTATAAAAATTCACAGAATGCTACATAAGAAATATTCAAATTAAAATACTTTTATTATGGTTAAGATATTGCCCTGTTGTTAAAAGATTATAGTTTATTATTATACCTGCAAACCTTTTAAGGTAGGTATTACTTTAATGTTATTCAAATTCGCTAAGACTGGCCGGAACATCTTGTTTAGATTATTTCTATAGTATAGCATACTAAGAATTTCAAAAATAATCATTTTCCCTATCTTTTTGAAAGCCGTTTTTAAACAATACAAAATTGGGAAGTATTAAAGAATTACAAACGTATTAAAAATGATATTCAAACTTATTCATAGTAACAGAAATACAAGATAAATTGCGTTATCGAATTTATTTTTTAGGTAAAGTGCATTTTGATATTTTTTTTAAATCAGACACTAACGTAGACAGAACATCACCGAAAACAAGTCCAGTCCTGAAACAATAGACCACGCCTACTTGTTTACGCTGGCTATCACGACTGAACGGATAGTCTTTAGTTCTAAGTTTATTGGGGGTACCATTAGACCCCACCTGGGTGACATCGGGATATTGATGTCCCCAAACAATCTTTTAGACATGATATTAGTGCACATGGCAGTCAAACTGTTAAGAAACAAAGCATCATAGACAACTAGTTATCTATTTCAAAGAAAATCTTGTTGCATAGCCTGAGTATATCAAAAGAGAATAATTGATTGTAATTGCCCACAAAACATTCACGTATATCGCTATAAACGCTTTGACGATTGTAATAAATTTGTTTAAGAAAAATATCCAGCTACACATTTGAAACAGTATTAAATTGTAATAAAGTAATAATCGTTTATTTAACGATTGTGACAAAGAACGACAGTTAGTGTGGTTATAGCTGTCGGCAATATTTTAAACAAATAAAAACTGGTCATAAGAAAAGGTATGACAAGAACGACATAAGGCGGTTATCCTTGGCTTAAGTGATTGCGATATATTTTCCTATCGAGTGGGCAATCTTGCGGTGAATGTTGTCTAACATACAATTAAAAATCTTTATTAAAATTTATAATAGGCTGACCGTGATGTATACAAGTTTTAGTTAAAGTAGATATTATTACACAAGATTGATTGGAAGAATTTATTTTTTTACACCATATATTTAAAGTTCCTTTATTTCATAGATATTTATGATTGGGGGTTTGGGGTGACAGTATAGTACAGTGAGAGTATATAATTAACACCCTTCAGAATTTTTATTGTGAGTCTTCCCATCCCCTGAGAGGGGAAGGGAGAAGGGGTTTCCCTCAGAAAAGTTTTGAAAATAACGTTTTTGGAGCCAAAATTATAACTCAACCCCTTTATACAAAAATGAAGCAAACTAAATATAACTTAAATATTTAAAAACTTTTTTAATTTTTTTAAACGTCGAAAAGAGAAACAAAGAAAGAGGGAAATCACGTGTAGCACCTAAAAAATCCAAGGATGGCGAACTAAGGACACAGAGGTGATAGAAAAATTAAAGAGGATGAACCTTGATATTTTGGTAACAACCGAGACCAAGAAAAAGGGAAATTGTACACAATTTGTAGATGACATCTTCTACTGTTGGAGCGGGAAAAAAAAAAGGAAGAAAGAGCAGCTGCCGGAGTGGGGATTTTAGTCAAGAAAAAATGGGTGAAAACAATAAAAACATGGAAATCCATAAATGAACGAATAGCAAAACTCATCATGGAAATCTATGGCAGGCAAATCGTGATACTGGGAGTATACGGCCCTACGGATAACAGTCTTGTAGCAGACAAGAATCAGTTCATGGATACCTTACAAGAAGAGATCGGAAAAGTGAGACCAACACAAGAAATAATAATAGCAGAAGACCTAAATGAAAGAACTGGGAAATGATAAAATGATAGCATGATAGGCCGTTTTGGAGAAGATGTGACAAACGATAATGGAGAAAAACTAATTGACTGAAAATTACTAACTGCTTTTTCAGACATAAGGACATACATAAATACACGTATTACAAATAACGAGAAACATCAGATCCATTATCGATTACATAATTGTCAGCAAAAGTACTACTAGCAAAATTAGACATACACGAGTAAAGAGAGGAGCCGAATGTGACATTGATTAATAATTTCACAAATGGGGTTTCCCTACACGTTGAACACCCAAACTAGAAGGAAGAAAAAACACGAAGAAGACCAAGTAGCAAATGAACAGAAAGAAGAAGAAATGAAGTTCAACATAAATTTACTTCAAGAGGAATCCATAAGGGAACTATACCAGAGAAGACTGGACCAGAAGTTACAGGATTTCGGTTTCAGAAACGTCAAAGAAACAAAGAAACAAAGAAACAAAATCAGAATAAAGAACAGATTGAGATAACATTATTCAAAGTAAAGAATGCCATAAAGACTTTAAAGAACAAAAAATCAGGGGGCCCTGGTGATGAATATTCTGTCTCCGGTTTCTATACACCATGTAGCTTCGCCTATTTTCAACAATTTTAAAGTGTTTGCTTGTCTTTGCGTAGTGTATTGTGATGTTCCATTTTATATTTATGACATTCTACTCTTGTCGGATAGGCCGCAATTGACGAAATGCCCCTGAAGATGATCTACTGATCGAAAGTACTTGGGCAAGATTAAATTAATACTGTGCTCGATATTTGCCTTTTATATTATCAAAGTTCATTTATTCGAGCATTCAACCTTATATCAATTTAAAATAAAAAATTGTTTGCAGCCCAAACTAATAATTTTTGCAAACTAAAATATTATTTTTTTTCCAAAACTTGTTCAAAAAACGTAAAAAATTAGAATATTTATTTTTGTTTTAATTTTTATACATGACTTTTTTGTGACTCAAATAGGTATAGCCATTGCTTCAAGAAAAAAGTTTTAAGGTCATGTCAAGAAAAAAATGTACATTTTCCTCAGTTTTTCTCAATAACCTGTTGTTTGTTTTACCACATGTATTGAACATTCATTATCATTAGAGATCTAAAAATAAATTGACGCCATACAAAATCCAATATAATGTCATAGGAAATAAAAAACTTTTACAATTACAAACCAAATGATGCAAAAATTCTTTAAAAGCATTAACAATTTTCATTTAAATCTATTTATTTTTGTTTTTCTTTTCAATTTACAAGATCTTTTAATTTTTTATGTTTTATTCCAGATGACTAACAACACACTGCCATGGCTCTGCGTATGCCTCTGCATAGCACTAGCAGCAGCTCAATCGAACTACGCCGATCAAGCCAACAACATCGCCTACCAAGGAGAAGGCCTTCCCGAACAAGGCATTCTCGATGGAAAAGTCACCAAGCTCGACGACCTCAGCCCCGTCATCTTCCTCAATAGAACCAAGGCCGCCTTGAACTGCGCAGCTGGTTCCATGCAGATAGAGCTCAAGTTCAACGATAAATTCTATGGAATAGCATACGCGCAGTTCGATAGGAATTCGGCTTGTAGGGTCTACGGAAAAGGAGCTTTGAGCTACAAGTTGGAGTTACCTTTGAAAGGGTGTGGAACAAAACAGGTAATAAATAATAAGGTATCTTAGCTGTATATAGCTGTATATTAATAAAGAAAAGTCTGGAAATATAGTAAGGACACACACAACAAAGAGACTCAAACTATTGAAATTTTTTAACAAACTAATCAAAATTTTCAGTTCTTTATATAACTACATTTAGATTTTCTTGGAGGTATAGTGATTTACAGATTATTCTTTTGTAAGTTTCCACGATACTTTTACCGCAAACTACGTATACTGTGAGAAAATAGTCTATCTATATAGCATTATTAGCGTTGCCTACTGATGTTATTCTTGAGACGACACTTGGCAGCTGACAAATGAAAGGTATACAATAGATCGATGTACTAATACTTCAAACTAGATAACAGAAAACGAGCAGCTAATATAGCAGAAAAAATGGCAGAAGTAATTCTGTTCAAATATTAGGGAGTACTAGTCAACAGAAGAAATGAAAGTGTATCGATAAAAGAGTAGATCTATCTAAAGAAAGAAGAGGTCTAAAGAAATTGAACACTTCTGATAAATACCACGGTCAACTGTCATCAACTTCTCATCCCCTGTTGTAAGTTCGTGAAGACGGTCTTTCCCGAATTTTAAGCTACCTCCTTCTTCTTCTTTAAGTGTTAACTCCGCGACGAAGGTTGGCAATCATCATGGCTATTCTGACATTCAAGGCAGCTGCTCTAAACAATTGCCTTGAGCTGCAACCACTCTCTCAGGTTCTTCAACAGGAACTGCGTCTTTCTTTTTAATCTCTCAATCTGCTGGCCGCCTACCGTTAATATTTCATTTGTATTGTTCTTGCTAATTTTCATAAATTTGGTTTTTTTGATGTGAAGAGAGAGTCTGTATTCTCCATTATATCTTAATATTTTGTTCATTATTCTTTCTAAGTCTTCCAAGTTGTCGGCTATTATGACTGTATCGTCGGCATACCTAATGTTGTTAATTAAACTTCCGTTCACTTTTATGCCGACTGTCTCGTTTACCAAAGCTTCTTGTATGATTTCTTCAGAATAAGCATTAAACAATAACGGCGACAGTATGCAACCTTGCTTGACTCCTCTCCTTATCTCCACTTCTTCTGACACTTCTCTTCCAATTTTCACATTTGATCTTTGGTTGTAGTATAAATTTAATATCAATGTTATCTACCTCCACATCTCCATAATGGCAGACATAGCATTGGAGAGACTTTACCTTTATGGATCTTGGATCCAATATGGCATCCAAGCGATCTTTCTACGAATTTGCTTGTCTTTTTTTCGTAAATCCAAAACAACTACTTCTACTGAAAGAGGCTTTGGTAAAATGCTTGAAATATGATACTTATACCAGCTAATATGATACTAGTGCTACGAATATAATACTTCTACAAAGTATTACTAAAAATCACTAGAATTCAGATTGAGATCACTGAAAGTTCAGACAAACCCTGCTGAACTCTCTTTTTTAATACTGTTATTTAAATATGTGTTAAGATGTTATGGATAATACGACCAAACGCTTTTTGAAAGTCTGCTTAACAAATAAATATTTTTGCTGGTTTTGAAACTTTTGAGCTAGAACGTAGACAATATTGATACATGCAAGAAAAACTGGAGCAGATAAATCAGAAACAAAAATAGTAGGTACTCAGTACGTGAGAAGTAAAGAGGTCTTTACACATAGACTCAGATATGTAAAATACAAGATACTGTACGGTGGGAAAGACCGAGAAGCCAATGAAACCAGGATCTTAAATGAGCGAAAAGTCAGAGACTAGTTCGGACACCAAGTGATTTAAAGAACAGACACCAGGCTACCAGAAAAGAACGAAGAAGGACAATCCTAAGCACTAATAAAAGAAAAAGTAAAAGAAGAATGAATTTACTACACTATTAATGTATACTATAATATAAAGTTGGTTTTGTCGACTAAATCAACGTCTAAGGAATTTAAACTACGGTAAATATTCTATATATCAAAGAGTTTGATCACATTTTTAACTTTTTAGGGACCCCAACGTGTTTTTACCAACAACATAGTGGTCAGATTCAACCCCCACTTCGAAATTGATGGTGACGAAGTTATAACCATCGTGTGCAGGTACCCTCCACCCATAGTACCACCCCCAGCACCACTACCGCGTATCGTGTAAGTACAATTCATATTTTTAATACAATTCCATTAACTAATGAACATTGCGCAAATTAAGCTCACCAGGCTTCTAAAAGTTGTGGTGCAGACTGCACCCGGTCCTATATGGGCCAAACAAATCGTAGAATTTAAAATAGAATTTTTGAACATTCCATTTCTGTTCGCAATTCCGATTCAATTTCAGCTCTTGGAACATACAACTCACAAAATTGATTTTGAACCAGAACCATAGGCATACGGTTACCTTTGACATAGAGATCTCTCATAAAGACTTATTTGACTTATGCGATTTCAACTAAATTTTAATTGTTAGTGATATTTTCTGACTTTTTGTGAGGTTTGTCCTTAAAATTATACAATTTTCAGTGACAATAACTATAATTTCTATTCTATTCTATTCCATTTTATCAATAAGGCAACTAAAATAAACTGATAAGCTAGTAAAACACGCTTAATTTTATATTTTTTGTAGACCTGAGGCTCCTGCATCGCCCATAGTAGCTGCACCGTTGAAAGGATTCCAAATCCTGCTGATTATCTGCGGTATCCTCTTCTTATCTTTACTTTTACTAGGATTAGGATGCTCGTACTACTGTTTAAGAAGAAGACCGTTAACGGTCATCCGACAACCGTTCTCTACTCTGGGAAGTGGATCGGAAATTACCAAAATATCCAGAAGTTCTTTAGGTAAGTATTTGGATTCAAAAAAACTGTTTCACAATGGTGTCACCAAATTATTACCCTTTCAAAACAAAAGAGTTTTCTGATTAGGCTGACTTTTGCTATGTACATATTTATCCAAAAAACTACCTAAACTTAAAAGTATCTAAAGTATTTCCAAATTATTACTTAAAAAGTGATATTAGAAACGTTTACAAACTTTTTGAATTTTCACAACAACGTCATGTTGTTGAGCGATAATTTTTTCTAATATCTCTAAATGTTTGTTATAGGAAGCCTTCCCATAATGGAAGGTGTAAAAATTCCTCGAGCCAATGTCTTACCATATACAGCAGCAGCAAGCAGTGCTGGAAGCGAAGGTCCTCTCATGAGTGACAATCTACCCTCAGACTACCCATCAGAGTCCCATTCGGAAATAGACGTAGACACCGGATCACTGCCAGTATCGTCTGCGGGAAGCTACGATAACCAAGCCTACATACAAGATAACAGTAGCGTGTACAGCGAAGGGTACGGGCATACCGTTGAGCAGCATGTCCAGAACGCGGTGGCTACCGCTGCTATGGTACCAAGGTTGCCGCTGGCTGTAAAGGAGCAGCCCAAGTTCGATGTTCAAGTCAAGGTTAAGAAAAGTCCTCCACCACCGCCTAGTATATCGCTGTCTGACACTGAGAGTACTAGGACTGATAGGAATTTGTCTACTATTCTAGAGCAGCAAGAAAGTATTAGGTATGCATGTACATTATTAAATTTTAAAGTGTTACTACAAATGTGAAGACTTATTTTACACAACTTTATTCCTCAAATCGTGAATTATTTGGTGAAAGTGGATTGATATTTAAGTAAATTTGTACATCTGTACATTGGTAACAGGATAATATAAGGCAAGGAAACAACTTTATGGTCAGACAGTGAATAATCATTCAGCCCTTTTTGCGCACTCTTGGACATATTCTTTACAATCCTTCTTGGGACTGACCTGTTCCTTCATCAGTCTAGCTGTTAGTGGTGATTTTCTGCTGTATTTTTCAGTTTTTCATCTACATTTAACTAACTAGAGTCTTCACTACCATGATTAAGATAGTTAAAGATAATGAAAAATTGACTACGATAGAAAACATGGAAAATATACACTTTGTTACATAGATCAGATGATAACATTCGCATCATGATCGTCACTTGTTTTCACATTTTCAGCTATATTTAGCGAACTATATCTACCATGTTTCTTCCATAAGACCATGACCTCCTCAGAAAACATATTTATTCGTTTATTAAAATTCGTAGTCAAGTTTACCAACCTATTCTGATGACAAAAACCTGTAGAAAAAACTCTATTTAAAAAAAGACATAAATAACAATCATATAATAATAAAGGACATAACTTTTTCTAACCATATTCACATTAAAATTAAAACCATACCTAACAATATTAATTAGCATATGTAAATATATAAATTCTTTCCAGATCATTGGATTCACCTCTGGTACATGAGAGAAATCAATTCACTTACGTACCAGAGCTTCATCCCCCACCAAAACACATTCAACCCGCTCCCACTTATAACAAAATCCTTCGAAGGCAAATGGAGATGCAAGAGGAACGGTTAGTAAACATTAAATGGAGATAAGGAATGTTTTGCTATGCTTGATTTTCATTTTGGGAATGTGTAAAGGTGCCAAAAAGCTTCTGCATGCGCTACTCTTTTTTGTGAATGTCTTTTATTTAACCATATATTTTCATATTTGTTAATATTCGTGTCATTAATATAAGACAATTTTTGGACAAGGAGATAAATATCTTTGAGAGGATCTGCTGCCCAGTTTATCTTGTCGAGGGTATCGATTTGCAAATCATGGAAAAACAAGAAACGATTGATAATACATTTAAAATGCTTTCCACTTTACTAAAGCTAGTTTTAATACTCTAATTTTGTAGATATGTTGCTCCAACTCCTCCACCACCTCCTCCAATAATACCAAAACGAGAACGACTGACAGAGGACGTACCAGATACCTTCGAACCACCAATAGCTATAGTACACAAACCAGAGATAACCTCCCACATGGTTGACGATGTTTTCTTAAAGACCATCACCGAAAAGAAGACAATAGAGGACATAGAACGCCATCGTCGATTGGTCACCGAGTACCACACCAGAGCCAAACCGGTGGATGACCAGAAATGGAACGTTACCATCAGGTAATCATCACTAGAATTTTTTAAAATTACAGACATTATTAATGTATTTATTTTTCTTATAGAAACTACCCAGTTGATATGGCAGAGCCCCCAGAATGGGAAAACTTCTCTGACATATCGTCAGCTTCAGGCTTGACTCTCACTCCAAAACCAAGAAGAGCTACCATGAGTTTACCACCACAAAACCTGATGTAGATGACAAATTACCACTTAATGCACCAGAAATTGTCGCTAATTTGGGAGCTCCATCCCCTCCAAGGTAAAGAATTTTCATAATTTTTCTTCTATTACAAATTTTTATCTTCTTGTGTCCTTTTTAGATATACAACTACATCAGAAGTGCACACAAGAGACGAAAGCTACTTATCGATGTTCAACATACCACCAGAAAATCCCGAAGTTCCCAACTGGAACGTTCTTATCCGAGTCTTCCAACCAACCGAGCAAGAAGAAGGTCCAGTTATCGATAGTGCAGAAACGTTTAATTCCCAACTGACGACAGCAGATAAAATGAAATGGCGACAAATCATCACGACAGAATCAACCTTAAGAACCTTGTTGACGGAATGTGTGATAAGAGAAGATTACGAAAGAGTTAGGAGTGATACGAGATACACTAATCTTTTCGAGCAGCCTAAATGGGATGTTATTATCAGGATTCTTGCGCCACCTGATAGACAACCAAAAAGCAGGAAATGGGACAACAGGTAATACTGTCTTTCTTATGCCTATTCGGCTTTCTAATACCTTTTACCTTCTTACTCATATTATTTTAATCATTTTTTTCTCATTGATTTATCCTATTCTATTTTTTCCTATATTCTATGAAGTTGGTGTTTTTTCTTTCTTTATACGATTTAAAAAACGTGTTTTCTTTAGGAGTCGCCGCAGCAGCTTGCCAACACTCTACGAATACGACTCCGATGGAGAGAGCTCCGTTCGCACTCTCACCCGAGAGCCTCTGGTCCTGCCACAACGATCGAGGAAAAACTCCAGATCAAGCTACAGAAGCGAAGCCGATTTGAGATCTATGTCTGAGATGACAGTGGACTTCGGAAGGCAGGATAACTTTTCCGAAACGTCCAGCTACTATCCCGACAAGAGATACTACGAAGATTCCGAACATGGACACCCTTCGCTGGCTAGATCGCTGAGCCAACCAAGTTTAGCTAGATCAGCTAGCGAATTTACGGAGAGATGGGTGGCCACCGTCTAGGTACGATACAGCGAGCGAGTTTACTTCACCAGAAGGTAAAATTAGATCACAACCATCAAAATACAATGGTCTAATACATTTTTTCTTTGTAGGAACTCCTAAATCCCAACGCAGCTCCCGATTCCAGCCTCCGCGAGGCACAGGCGAGCAACGAGCAGTCTGGCAGACGAGCCAAGCGAGTACCACGACCGGACCTCGCGGTACCAGTCAAGTAGTAACTCAAGAATTCAGAAGTCAAGCGTCTTCTAGTTACGTCGGTCGTAGTCAGCCTCCGAAAGGCTGGTTCGGTGATAACGATAGCGAAGCTAGCTACAAATAAATCGAATATCTACAAAGGCGGCTTGTGAATGCCTGTAGGTCTATTTAAAAAGCAGTTACACTGCCTAAAGTACTCAGATATTCCTAATTATGTGCTAATATTAAAAGAAAAGCTGCCCTTTTATATTTAGAAGAATTTTCTTGTTATTTTGTATATTTTCTCTAAATTTTAAACTCATATTATTATATTAATAGAATCTGTAGGTTTGCATTATGTAAAAGAACAATGTTCAGTTCAACAATTTGGACTAAGTATCAAAGAGACTGTTCAGAGACATGGAACGAAATTTTCAACTATCCGAAGTTGCCAAATTAGACCTTTTCCCCAAATATTTGCTCAACAGATTAATATTGTTTATACTTACATAATGCAAACGTTTTATCCGTGAAAACAAAATCTCAATTCAAATAATATTAGTAACAAGCTGTGATAACAATGTAAGGTGTGTTTTTGATTCGATTTTTTATTCGAAGGGGCCTACCTGGTTTTCCACTTTTTCAAGCACAAATAATGTTTTCTTAATTGAAGAACTGTAGAACTGGGTATTGGGCAATGTGTCTCATTGAGTTTTGTAAAATGCTTACCATATAAAGTAGGAAGGTGTTTCACTTAATTATCTTTACACAACTTGCAAAATCAGTTGTAGGCTTTATACCATTATCAGAAAAAATTATGTTAACATAAATGATGACAACACATGAAAATTAAACCTTATTCAGATTTATGCGCCAACCGCCGATAAAACAGAGGAAGAAATTGAAAAATTTTACGATGACTTTTAAAAATCCCTACATAATACAACATCTAGAGATATAACAGTAGCCATGGATGATTTTAACGCCAAAGTCAGAGAAGAAAGATGTGAATCTACTGTAGGACCATATGGACTCGGTGTTCGAAATGAGAGAGGAGAATGCCTTATAGAAGTCTGCCTAGAACATAATCTTGATGTAATGAATACTTTCTTTAAACTGCCTAAACGACGCCTGTACACTTGGAAATCTCCAGCTGATAAGATCGATAAAATCGTTAGAAACCAAATTGACTATATTTTAATAAGCCACAGATACCGAAACGCAATACAATCGGTAAAAAGTATACCCAGGTGCAGACGTGGCATCAGATGACAATTCTCTTCCAACTTCACTTAAAAAAGATACAAAAGTGATAAAGCAAACAAACAATAATTAAAATTAGAAGACGTCAAAGAAAAACTAAAACAAGAAATTAATGCAAACCTAGAATCCACACCAGAATCAATTGGTGGTGATGTAGAACAACAGTGACAATTATTTAAAAATGCAATTATCGAACCAAGTCGCAGAGAACTCACAACAACCAGATGTAAGAAAAGAGATTGGATGAAAGAGGAAATCTTGAAAATGATGGAGGACAAAAGAAGGCAAAAGAATATCAACCTAACTTAGTATCAACAGCTGGATAATAAAATAAGAAGGAAAGTAAGGGACGCTAAAGAGACTTATTTTTCTGGAAAATGCCAAGAAATAGAAGAATTACAAAACAAATATGATAATTTTAATCTCCATAAGAAAGATAAAGAATTAGCTGGGGTAGCAGCAAAGCAAAAAACGTTAAGCATAGTATTGGACAAACAAAGAAACATTTTAGTGAAGATGGAACAAAAATTAGTAAGACAGAAAGAATATATAGAGGAATTATTCCATGACCAGAGGCAGGAAAAGATATATAAAGATAATCAGAGTAAAGACGAGGGACCCGAAATAACAAAGTCAGAATTATACATGCAGTAAAGTCCATTAAAAATAATAAAGCTGCTAGTCCAGATGAAATACCAAGTGAATTGCTAAAATTGGTCAATGAAAAAAACATAGATCTTTTGGTCCAACTACTGAACACAATCTATTCCACAGGAATATCATCTATGGAATGGAGTGGGCTAAAGAAAGGCAAAAGATACAATATCTTGAGACTCATAATTCAAGGAAAAATAGAGGTTAGGAGAAGCGTAGAAAGAAGATGCGTTTTCTGGTTAAAGAACATGAGAGACTGGTTTGGTAGCTCAAGGCAATTGTTCAGAGCAGCTGCTCGAAGGTCAGAATAGCCATGATGATTGCCAACCTTCGTCGCGGAGATGAGACTTAAAGAAAAAGAAGAATTGAGAACGGATTGACTGATCAAATGGAATAATAAACAGCGCATTTTAAACACAAACAAGCTGGTAAACAATGTTTTAATTAAAAGCCTGGAATCAAAAATTCTTTCTCGGCTAGCTCAGTCTATAGACATGATAGCATGAAACTTTTAATCTTAGAGTCATCAGTTTGTGCCCCACGTTGGGCGCCTAGTCAACGAATTGTTGTTTATAGATTACCCAATAAGATCCGACGCTGATTTCAGCCTACAAATGGGTGTTTTGTTGATTATAAAATAAATATTTTCCCATAATATATTTTTTACTTCAAATTTATTCATCTATATGTTTTTAAAATAGATAAAGATCGTAGAAAAGCATCACTTTAGACAAAAACATTTAATACATGCTCAAATTAATTAATTTGGTACTGGAAATAGATGAAGGTTTTAAAACGATATATCTGGAAGAAAAAAATCTAAGAAAGGAATCATTAAAACGATCTCCAAACTTTTGGTTATACTTGGATTCTGAGAAGCCTATAACCGAAACAAATGTGTTCATGATGACCAAATGTATCTAATACATTAAAGTGAAATATCTTCTTCAAAAATTGCTTAAAAAACCGAGACACACTGTCCCTGTTTTAACGTATATTTTAATAAAACCACAAAAATATCTTTCACATTTTTGTAACTGTGAAATTCGTTTTTGTCCAATCTAATGTGCTCAATTTTCTAATCGGTGATGGTTGGGGCCTATTTTTCCGCGTTTTACTAAACCTTTCGCTATTTTTTTATACCTGAGTTACTGGAAAACTACACCAGCAATGTAAGATAATCCGTAATGGTGCTAATTAATTTTAAATTTTATGTAAACAACATATGTAAGCTTTTATAAAAAGAAAATAAATATTTTATAATAATATCTGTTTTGATTTTCTCCTATTGTTCTAGAGAATTGTACAATACCACCTAAATCACTGTCAATAGAGAGATATGAGAGTTATCAAGAACCAGAATGTATTTAACTTTGCACGACATTATATATAGAAGAAATTATGGGAATAGTTGGACCGTCAACAATAGTTGGTTCCGAATGGAACCTCCAAAAGAAAAACTTAACCCAAGATCAAAAAACAAAACCTTTCAAAAGCTTCTATTTAAATGCCAACAGAATAAATGTGTAGCTCCACATGGAAGCACTGTATCGATAGCTTGGTGTAGATAGTAAGGTGAAGAATTAAAAATCTTTCAAAACCTTTCAAATCTAAATTCAAACAAAATAAGTCTGTAGCTCGACATGGAAGCACCGGAGTGATAGCTTGGTGAAGATATCAATGTGAAAAAGCAAAAATCTTTTAAAAACTCTTATCTAAATGCCAATAGAATAAGTCTGTAGCTCGACATGGAAGTTCTGTATCAATAGCTTCCTTTTTAGGGTTATTGAATAAATAAACTATGCTTCTTGACCATTTGTTTTCTGGCTGTAAACATTTTTAAATTTCTAATTACAATTTATAGAAATTTCTAATTTCTCATTGGTTTGACTAGAAGTTTAATCAATTTTACGGGACATTTCCCAGATTATTTTCATAAATACTCTTCTACTGACTGGAATTTGACTGTCGTTATGTTGTCTTCATTCTCGATTAGATCGTTGTTGATCTTTTTAAAACCACTAGAACCTTCCGCTGGTCAAGCAACTTCTTTACTATAAAATGAGTAAGCAACATCGTTGATCTAAGAGTCGCAAATTTTTAAAATAAGTCATAAATAGACTGTACCGAAAAAGACAAGGTTTTTTTAACTTGGCCAAAGTGCTAATCTGATCCAAGAACCTTCCTCCTTTTTCCGGGCTTAGGACCGGCAACAAGATCATTAAGGTAGTATTTCAATGATCCTGTAGGCGGAGTTAAAAAACCTGGACTTATCAAGATACAAAACTACTTCGCTAAAATTAAAATTTTCAACAAAAAGTAAAATAAGGCCTTTAAAAAATTAACTGAAAAATTAAGAGAATTTTATAAACCTGTCTATATGTTTAATTTATTCAATAGAACTATTTAATTGGTATCACTTGACAGATATCATTCATATACTAAAACAGATAAAATAGGCAGTAATTTCTTAACACGCCAACATACTAACATTATAAAGACTGATCTACAATATAAAAGATCTAGGTGAAATTAAACGCCTCTATAAAAAAGGAAGAAAAAAAGTGTTGAAAATGCTCTTGCTGAATTAACTTCCAATATATTATATTACACGTAACAACGAGACTAAAACACAACGAATGACAGCACAATAGACATATCATAGATATAAGGTAAAAGTAGAACTGACAATTAACAAACAAGAAAAGAAATTCACATATTTAGAAGACTTAGGTAAATTGGTAAACATACTGGAAAACCGAAAACATTTTCGGAAATAAAAGACACTACACAAAGAGCCGAGATATCTGATATTCCAAAAGAAAGATTCACTGCTTACCAGTCTTAGGTTTCTAATGAAACATTTAGGCGTCGAATGTCGCTGTGGACCGAGCGCCGGCGAATGGCTTACTAATGAAGGTTTTTTCTAGAATACCATTTACCAGCTGTCTGTGAGCATCTATAGGGTCAGATTATTAATCTAGGAAGAAGGACAAATTGAAGCTTGTTTTATTGAATATTGTTAATGATGAAATAATAAGAAAATGCCTAAAATATGGTTATACAAAATCAGAGAAGTATGTTTTAGAAATAAGGAACAATATTGTTATTCACTACTTCTAACACCACTCCAATTAAACCACCAAATATTTCATCATAATTATTTCTAAAATTTAAAGATAACAAAACACAAAAATAGAAATTCTCCAGGAGCGGACAGAATACCGAACGAACCTCTAAAGTACGGAGGACAAGATCTGACCAAACAACTATTACAACTAATCCAAAAAAATAATAGAACAAAACAGAATTCCTCAAGAATTTCCAATGCATTATTTTCAACTTTATCTTGAGATAGAAGACTATTATTCTCGAAAATGAAAAAGACACTACACAAAGAGCCGAGATAACTGATATTCCAAAAGAAAGATTCACTGCTTACCAGTCTTAGGTTTCTAATGAAACATTTAGGCGTCGAATGTCGCTGTGGACCGAGCGCCGGCGAATGGCTTACTAATGAAGGTTTTTTCTAGAATACCATTTACCAGCTGTCTGTGAGCATCTATAGGGTCAGATTATTAATCTAGGAAGAAGGACAAATTGAAGCTTGTTTTATTGAATATTGTTAATGATGAAATAATAAGAAAATGCCTAAAATATGGTTATACAAAATCAGAGAAGTATGTTTTAGAAATAAGGAACAATATTGTTATTCACTAGTTCTAACACCACTCCAATTAAACCACCAAATATTTCATCATAATTATTTCTAAAATTTAAAGATAACAAAACACAAAAATAGAAATTCTCCAGGAGCGGACAGAATACCAAACGAACCTCTAAAGTACGGAGGACAAGATCTGACCAAACAACTATTACAACTAATCCAAAAAAATAATAGAACAAAACAGAATTCCTCAAGAATTTCCATGCATTATTTTCAACTTTATCTTGAGATAGAAGACATTATTCTCGAAAATGAAAAAGACACTACACAAAGAGCCGAGATAACTGATATTCCAAAAGAAAGATTCACTGCTTACCAGTCTTAGGTTTCTAATGAAACATTTAGGCGTCGAATGTCGCTGTGGACCGAGCGCCGGCGAATGGCTTACTAATGAAGGTTTTTTCTAGAATACCATTTACCAGCTGTCTGTGAGCATCTATAGGGTCAGATTATTAATCTAGGAAGAAGGACAAATTGAAGCTTGTTTTATTGAATATTGTTAATGATGAAATAATAAGAAATGCCTAAAATATGGTTATACAAAATCAGAGAAGTATGTTTTAGAAATAAGGAACAATATTGTTATTCACTAGTTCTAACACCACTCCAATTAAACCACCAAATATTTCATCATAATTATTTCTAAAATTTAAAGATAACAAAACACAAAAATAGAAATTCTCCAGGAGCGGACAGAATACCAAACGAACCTCTAAAGTACGGAGGACAAGATCTGACCAAACAACTATTACAACTAATCCAAAAAATAATAGAACAAAACAGAATTCCTCAAGAATTTCCAATGCATTATTTTCAACTTTATCTTGAGGATAGAAGACTATTATTCTCGAAAATGAAAAAGACACTACACAAAGAGCCGAGATAACTGATATTCCAAAAGAAAGATTCACTGCTTACCAGTCTTAGGTTTCTAATGAAACATTTAGGCGTCGAATGTCGCTGTGGACCGAGCGCCGGCGAATGGCTTACTAATGAAGGTTTTTTCTAGAATACCATTTACCAGCTGTCTGTGAGCATCTATAGGGTCAGATTATTAATCTAGGAAGAAGGACAAATTGAAGCTTGTTTTATTGAATATTGTTAATGATGAAATAATAAGAAAATGCCTAAAATATGGTTATACAAAATCAGAGAAGTATGTTTTAGAAATAAGGAACAATATTGTTATTCACTAGTTCTAAACACCACTCCAATTAAACCACCAAATATTTCATCATAATTATTTCTAAAATTTAAAGATAACAAAACACAAAAATAGAAATTCTCAGGAGCGGACAGAATACCAAACGAACCTCTAAAGTACGGAGGACAAGATCTGACCAAACAACTATTACAACTAATCCAAAAAATAATAGAACAAAACAGAATTCCTCAAGAATTTCCATGCATTATTTTCAACTTTATCTTGAGATAGAAGACTATTATTCTCGAAAATGAAAAAGACACTACACAAAGAGCCGAGATAACTGATATTCCAAAAGAAAGATTCACTGCTTACCAGTCTTAGGTTTCTAATGAAACATTTAGGCGTCGAATGTCGCTGTGGACCGAGCGCCGGCGAATGGCTTACTAATGAAGGTTTTTTCTAGAATACCATTTACCAGCTGTCTGTGAGCATCTATAGGGTCAGATTATTAATCTAGGAAGAAGGACAAATTGAAGCTTGTTTTATTGAATATTCTTAATGATGAAATAATAAGAAAATGCCTAAAATATGGTTATACAAAATCAGAGAAGTATGTTTTAGAGAAATAAGGAACAATATTGTTATTCACTAGTTCTAACACCACTCCAATTAAACCACCAAATATTTCATCATAATTATTTCTAAAATTTAAAGATAACAAAACACAAAAATAGAAATTCTCCAGGAGCGGACAGAATACCAAACGAACCTCTAAAGTACGGAGGACAAGATCTGACCAAACAACTATTACAACTAATCCAAAAAATAATAGAACAAAACAGAATTCCTCAAGAATTTCCATGCATTATTTTCAACTTTATCTTGAGATAGAAGACTATTATTCTCGAAAATGAAAAAGACACTACACAAAGAGCCGAGATAACTGATATTCCAAAAGAAAGATTCACTGCTTACCAGTCTTAGGTTTCTAATGAAACATTTAGGCGTCGAATGTCGCTGTGGACCGAGCGCCGGCGAATGGCTTACTAATGAAGCTTTTTTCTAGAATACCATTTACCAGCTGTCTGTGAGCATCTATAGGGTCAGATTATTAATCTAGGAAGAAGGACAAATTGAAGCTTGTTTTATTGAATATTCTTAATGATGAAATAATAAGAAAATGCCTAAAATATGGTTATACAAAATCAGAGAAGTATGTTTTAGAAATAAGGAACAATATTGTTATTCACTAGTTCTAACACCACTCCAATTAAACCACCAAATATTTCATCATAATTATTTCTAAAATTTAAAGATAACAAAACACAAAAATAGAAATTCTCAGGAGCGGACAGAATACCGAACGAACCTCTAAAGTACGGAGGACAAG